GTGTGTGTGTGTGTGTGTGTGTGTGTGTGTGTGTGTGTGTGTGAGGTTGGGGGTGGCTCAAAGAAAAGAACTTCAAACACACTTTTAGTGGCGTGTCCTGTTTTTGTATGGCATGTCATTACTTGGAATCGAACCAAATCTCTAGGGGGTATTTTGAAGCTGAAATCTTACACACTTACAGGGCTTAGTATGCTTGAAAGACTCAATGCCTTTTCAAACAAATGCTCAGCTTAGCTCGCTTGGAGGAGTATTGTTTAACATTTGTGCGTGATAACGACCAATGTTTTCTTTTTTTCTTTTTCTTTTTCTGTTTTTTTTTTGGACTTGAAAGTGTTTTCATAAAAAGATGTTAGATTTACAAATGGATCTTTTAACAGTGGTCACAAACCAGCAACATACGAAAAAATTCTTCTAAATTTGTTTCACATAGAACTGAACTAAGAATAAATTAAACAAATGTAAATTTAAAACGATTTATTTAAGATTTGTTGGCAAAGGAAAATTTAACATTTTACTGACCAGAGTTAACTAAATATTTAATCCACGAGTGAACATTCTACTGAAAATCACAATATACTGTAAAATAAACAAATGCATGTTGTAGAACAATGCCTACAAATTGTTGCTGTCACAATAAATTTGTAATGGAATCTAAATTATCACTATTTATGTGCATCCTGCACATTGTGAATTAAAGGTCAAAACACACAAACACACTAACTTCACTAAGACTTTGTTTTAAACATGAAGTGAAGCATGCATGCTTCAGTGTGCAGCACATGTGTGTGTGTGTTTGTGTGTTGGGCGTCTAGAAGGAGTGATGTAACCTACTGAACTATAACAACAAGTAAAGTCAACAGAAAAAACATTAAATGTGCATTACATTGTTTTACTATAGTTTTACAAAAAGGGAAAAGATTCTGCAAAAAAAAATGTTTCAAGTCAATGCAGACCTTTGCTTTAATTTTCTTTTTTTAATGTAAAAAGAAGCAGAAAAGAGATGAGAAGATGCTCCATCTACATTGGTACTGAGCCACCAGAMAACAAACAACAAGCCAATGGCACACTGTGAATTCTCCCAGTGCTCCAGATGGTGAGCCTGGGCTGTGCAACTTTGCATCGCAACAAATTATTTTGAATCAAGTTGGTTCAAAGAATGAGCTCTCTCTCTCTCTCTCTCTTTCCCCTATGTTAAAGCATGAAAATCTGAAAAAAAAAAGGTTTGTGGTGCTTGTTTAACAAGTGCTTTTGATCATAAAGTTTTCCCGTTCTGTCCACATGCTATCAATTTTCTCCTCATCACCAACTGTAACACAAGCCTGTTAATGCTTAATATGAAAAAAAGATCAAAGTCATCTTTGGAGCTGAGGGAACTTAAAGGGAAATGCTGTAATGGGCTGAAGGAAAGTTGAAACACAAGTCTGAGTAGGATGACCTTTACAGTAAAAAACAAAAAAGGCAAAACTCTTTATTATATATATATA